CCGACACCAATGCGCCGGTCGTCGCATTGTTGTCATCAAACCAATCAGGCCGCTTACAGTTTGCGCGCCCGATGATCTCCTCGGCAGCAGCTGTCACCTGGTCACAAATGTGGTGCCACAGGTCGTGCACTGTGACTATGCAGTCCACATCACACCTACTTACTTTTTTACTTTACTTACTTACTTACTTACTTACTTGCTTACTTACTATTCTACTGCTATGCTACTTAATGCACTCCTTTTCTCTATTAACCTACTTCATCATTAAAATATGATTTACTTCTGTTGCGTAACTGCTTTACCAATTTTTGCCATGGGTGTACAAGCCTCTACGATTGAAATTACGTAGAAAGTGGCTTAATTGGAACCGCTGCTCATCACTAATCTAGCGTTTTCTTTGTATTAATCTTCACCGGATGGTCTTGTGATGTTGTCAGTCAATTCTATTACCAGGTGACATTGTATTTTCCTGCAATTAACAAAACCCTTACTGTGAACCCCTCACAACTAGGCGTCACGCGCTTCTTGCGAAAATTTCGACTTAGCGGAAAGCAACGGGAAAAGCACACAGTACTGATGATTGACACCGAAGGTGCACGCTTATCACCTTATGACCGTCAATCTTCTTTCCATCTCGAGCAAACAGATGTCTACTTTTGGTGTGAGCACCAATCAATCACCATTATGCTGTTCCTGTCCAATTCCAGTCTGAATCATCTTGGTGGTACTGTGGTACAGGCAATCACTGGCACTGCCTTATGCGACATTTTCCTCTTTCTCTCAAGCTGTTCGATCGATAGTCGCGGCACTTATTATCCTTCCCACTACCTTAGACGCCGTTCACTAAGTAGACTGCTTCTGTTCGTCTTTCAGATCTGTATTCATCATCCACTACTTCCTATGTTCAGTTCCCCGCTCTGAATGTCTCTTCGTGACGAACGAGCACCACCTAAAACACCCCACCATTTTACACTTTTTGTGACAGTTATTTCAGTCTCATATCTCCCCTGTGTTTGCCTACGGAATATCTCATGGTCTATCCATCGCATACGTGAGTTGTTTTAATTTGTAGGTCTATGAAGCATCAGCATGCAGTGCATTCGCTTAGTGAGATGGCTGATGTATAGACAGCTGCCTGTACTCGTGACTTCATATAAACTAGAGTGGAAAACCGCTTACCCCAACAGCGTCTTTTAACATAAACTAGCTATAAAAAATGAAATAATAACCTTATACCGCGGCCGTTTGTCATCAGGACATTACAGTTACCATGTGTAACTGTTTGATGCTTATTGCCCAGCACATAAAACTTAAAAGTTATTTTCAATTCAACATTCTATCAACTGTCTTGGAATGCAGACATATTTAAACTGGTTGACTCGTGGTCCGATGTCGCTCTTCGTCACAGTGTTTAAGCCGTATCTGATTTGTTGATCGTCTGTAGTCACATTCTTGCGTTCATTTACATCATGAAAAAAATCACTGGAGGTCTAGATCGGGTTCTTGTCTGGGAGTCCTCAGGTTTGATCACATCGTTGGTTATATACATGGCACGGACACGAAGCCATTGCTCATCTTACCTTCGGACCCTCGAACATTCCATATGGTGATTTCAATTCTTATTCATCTCACTAGAATTTTGTTTATTGCTGTTAATGCTAATCTTTTCATCACTACATCGGCGAAATGTGCCAAGCTGACTGTACCTACCGCCCCTCGTTACCCATATCATAGTCAGCAAACATACCTGAGCAGATGACTTTGGCATCTTCCCGATTCACTGAACTATACTGGGTAGAATTTGTACGTGCGATATGAATTCCGTCTGATCGTTCTTGGCATGTTTCTCGTCATCTCACTTTTGCGTACAATTTGTCATGCATTTTGTCCCTTCATCTTCTTACGATATCTCTCTCCATATTGTGACCCATAAAGGAGAACTGCTGTTTGGTTATCTACCCTGCTCTTCGCGTAAATACCGTACTCGATCTAATATTTGTGTGTACTCGTCCCTTTGATTTCTCACCTCCCTGAACAGTATCTTTCTTCCTCTTTGCTGGACACTCGATGCTTGTGTTCTTGGTGTAACATATCCTCTCTACGTGCTAGCAGACGGTGGCTAGGGGTTCGGGGGTCACTACACTTACATTCATCTCCCGTCAAATAATAACCATTAGTATTGACTTCAGATTCACCACAAGTGCCCTCACGTGTGTTGGTTGCACTTCTTTCCTATTCTTTACCTCTGCGATTGCACTCGCCTTGTTACTTAGTTTGGAATTCACGCATTCCGAAATGAGGATATAGTCGCTAAATGTTCTCCGTAGTATTTTGCTTCCTTGTGAACATTTCGTTGTCTGGCAACAGCTTTGCTCCTGCGTTCACTTAAGTTCTTAATGCTCTTACTCGAGGATTGAATGGCACATGACACTAAGTGATAAGCATTTAATCATCAATTTTGCGCTTTTACTTTGTCGTTTTACCTCCAAGAGTCCAAGCAACAATGTATATATATATATATATATATATATATATATATATATATATATATATATATATATATATATATACTTGCCCATAAACATTTGACAGTGCCACAACCCATGAGTAACAATAACAGAAAGAAGGGAGAGTCAGCTGAATGGATGGAACGTTCCATGTGTTGTGTGGTCATTGAGCTTCGCGGTTGCCCAGGCCGAGGAAGAGGGTTGACTTAAGGGACCCCACCCCGAGCCTTTGATCTTAAAGACCTAACCCGCAAGGCAGCGGGGTGATTCACGAAGACCGTTGACAGCCAAATGACTCATTCGCCTTCTTTGTGTTCGGAAGTAGTCCACAGAGAAGCCTGTGGCCAGCAACGTTGTTCATCCGCCTTCCGTTTGATACTCACCCCCCAGTTGCAAGAGTGAGTGGTCAGTGACCCTATACTCGGTCACATTGGCTTTGACACAGCGCCGTACGAGCACTTGTGGTATTTAATGGAGAAACAGATGACCAGCCCAGAACTCCCCACGCTCTGAGACGCTGCCGCTGATTGTCCGCGACTGATTACTCATCTCGCCTGCAAGGCAAAGGAGACTTATTCCCAGTTAGCTCCACAAGGATGGCATTCCCCAATCCGCAACCTGGGGACGCACCCGACAGCGTACAGCTTCGCCACGGGGTTATTTGTATAGCGAAATATCGTTTATACTGTGCATAATGGAGGGGCGCTAGTTGTTTGCGACGTCTTTGCACTTATCACTTTATCCTTTTTCCCTCTTCCACGGATTGTCTGTCTTTTGGTCCGTATGTTCTGCTCGCTAAAACCTACTTCTGCTTTGTCCCCTTCCCGTCATGTTATACTCGTCAGGTCTTTTTTGTATCTCTGGCAGGCGCACGATTCCTCGTGCTTCCTGGTGAAAGGTTAGTTGATCTAGATTATGCGGACGATATCGTCTTGCTTTTCGACGATTTTGCGGTGGTACAATCAACCCTGAATAGCCTGTCCAGAGTGGTTTCATTATTTGCTATGCACTTCGCATCTTCAAAGTGCAAAGTGTTGCTTCAGGACCACCAGCCACTTGATGACCCCTTGACGCTTTCTAACGAGGAACTCGAGGTGGTTGATCATTTCACTTATCTTGGCAGTTGTATCAGCAATGATGGACGCATAGAAACTGACGTCAGCTCACGTATTGTAAAAGCCAGAGCTACCTTCTTGAATCTGCGGTATCTTTGGCGACAGAAGGGAGTTTCCCTCCGTCTGAAAGGCCGTGTATACAAGGCCACAGTGAGGGCCGTTCTGCTGTATGGCAGTGGGACTTGGTCCCTTCGGTCTGAAGATCTGAGGCGCCTTCAAGTCTTTGATCATCGTTGTCTGCGAAGCATTGCTGGAGTCGGATGGCACCAGCATTTCCGCAACGATGATGTGCATAGGCGAGTACTAGGTGGTGATAAGCATGCTAGCTCCCTAGAACAACAGATAGCACTGAATAAGTTGCGTTGGCTCGGGCACGTGCTACGTATGCCTGGTCACCGCTTACCTAGGAGGGCCTTGTTTAGTCTGCCAAGGTTAGGGTGGCGTAAGGCTTGAGGTGGACAGAAGTTGACTTGGCAGCGGGAAATGAAGTCACTGACTACCAAACTGGGTGCCATTGGTCCGTCTCGCCTTGTGTTTGGCTCGAGACTTTACAGAACATGGCTCGCAGTAGACACCAGTGGCGCGTCTTCTGCCTTCTCCTAATTGGATTGCCTGTTTAAAGTGTGTTTGGTAATGGCTGATTATGACGCGTGGCAGTGAAAGCCGCAGGGAAGCTGTCTCGTCGATGCCGCCTTATCTTTGCACGATAGCCAGCTGTTTGTGACGGAATGTTGTCTGCACAAGGTGTAGGCGCCTTCACCCTGAATGTTTGCTTAGGGCATTAACGTTTTCAGGTAAGTCCCCCTTCTCTCCCTCTTCTTATTATTTATTTCAAAGGTCCTCATGGTTGTATGGCAGCGTAGCATCAGTTCAAATGACTGTTGTACTGCTGTTGTTGTTGATGATGATGATGCACGATTCGTCCTCCCGCGGCTGTTCTAGACAATCCACTTCGCCTTTGTTCGTGACAAAGCTGTGCTTTGTTCAGACCATAATCCCTCCCTGTCTCGTCCACGTGTGATCAGGTTGCGATGGCCGCGACTGATTGTTTACAACCCAGTTGTCAGCTTCGCTCAAATGTGCATCTAATATCACGTCCTTCGCTTTCAATTTTCTTATGCATCATTGTTACTACGGTCATTACACATGTTATACTGGTTGCGCAATCTCACGTTTGAACGCTCTGCTCTTTACCTCTTACATACGACCCATTCGCTGTTGGGTGCTTATGCACATGTTGCGCCTGTCAGATATCCTTGAATTTTTGATGATCACATTTCCACGGCAAATTCATCGGTCTCGTGCTCTACCTTAACCCGGACCTAATTTTCCATACCACTTATGCTAACATTCTATTGCGTTTCTTTTTTACTTTCAGAGGAATCATCCGCGTCCGTATTCTTGACGACAACGACTACGAGAAGTCGGAGTACTTTACCGTAAAGTTGGGACAACCCGTGTTAGTGGACAAAGATGGTAAGCGGTTGATGCTCTGTTTCGTCGTGGCTTTCTTCCCTTACATCACTACTGTAGACGTGGTCTACTTGAAATGCAGTATCAACTCTCATTGCATTACTGTTTACAGTATTGATGGGCTTTTCGCACTATCCTGAGCTTCAATTTCCAACTACTCTACTCATCTGCCTAATGGCCCCTTATCAATCTTGAAGAGTCCAGATTCGTTCATCCAATGCATGCAGCTAGTCGTGCATCCCCGTTTTCAATCTAATTCAGCAAGTGAGCACAACCCTCATGTTTAAGCGTCAGCAGTGTGGAGCAGATATGCATCCCCGGATCGACCGCTACACATTTACGGCACTGCAGTGTAGTTTTATGAATTGAACTTTATGCATGCATCCATCACTTGACTTCCATCGCTTCATTTTCTATGTGGACGTGGTTCTCGCTTATGTGCAGGTTAGCTCGGACTTTTTCGATGCTTTATGCTAGCTTCGTTTTGGTACACACCTTGCCCCACGATTTCACCGTCGTGAGCTAGTTTCACAACCACGAGTTAAACTTAATTCATTTTGATCATCTTTTTCCAATGTTAAAAGGCACTTCTCTTTTGTATGTTAGATGTTCTGCCTATTTCTCAAAAGTCGGTTTGGTTTATCTGCCATAGATGTGTCAGCAATTTTCGGGACCCAGTCAGCGCTCCTGCCATACGACTGCCCATCATTGTGTGTGTGTGGCGTGCTTCTGTAGGACAACTATTCTTCATTTCGCACAATCAGTAGTACGATGTAAACTGTGGTATTACAAGTCGGTTTGCTTATGATCCGTGCCTGACCCAAAACCATATTTTACCGTGAATCAGTGGTATTTAAGGGTTAATGAACTACTAACTTCAGATATCTATCGAATTGATAGTGATGTGGGCTCACACTACCTACGCTGACGAACAGTGTGTGATACCACTGATCTCTGCTTCCCCATCTTGACCGCTCGCAGTGCTATTGCATGTAACAAATCGTGAACGTCTTCAAGGTTTCCATAAAACCAGGATGACGCTTTTACCGAGTTCATCATCATCTGTCTTTCTGTGTATAAAAAACGCGTTAATAGATGCATGCATTTCGTACTGTCTCCTCAGTACTGTTAACGATAACCGATATGCAACTATAGACTTAACCATGTTTGTGATCCAATAGGCACAAGGTGTAAATTGAGTGACAGTACTTCTGGCCCTATGTCCATGCCAGACTTAAGCTAACAATGATACACACGGGTCCGGCTTCTTCCGGATTATCGCGACAGTATCAACGAAACGGAGGGAACGAGGATTAAGATGACCTAACACATGTCTGAATTCCTATCCAAGCTCTATCCGGGGACGCGTGGCCATAGGTGTTTACCTATCGAGTAGGCTGGCGTCCTGAGCGAGCACGGAACTTCACTAAAGTAGGGATGCTGGTCAGTTGCACATTAAACCCACCTTGGCACGTGTCCTTTTACTTTAGAAGTCCAAGACTGACCAGTTCTGCCTATGTAACTGGGTTCGCAGTTACACCCGAATTTGTATGTGCAAGGTGAGTTGGCCCCAGTTGGTTGAGGTTGCTTCGTTGGAGGCACCGGTAAGTTAGGAGTTCGGTTAATTACCACAACTTGAGCGGCACTGTAATTGCTCTGCGTAGTAGAGATTAAACGTTGCGTGGTTTTCAACACGGTTACTTCGCCGCTGAAAGGCAACTCGATATAGATGTTTTTCTTAGCTGCCGTCTTTCGGGCCTTGCTGTTGGCTGTGTTTCTCTATAGATTCACCATGATTGTTGCTGTACTTAACTCTAACTCGTCGGCATTTACACTTGTGTTACGTCACTCTATTCCCTGCTTCTTCCGTTTCACCGAGGCTGTCGCGGTAAGTCGAATGAAGCCGGCTCTGTGTTCAAAAACAATTATTTGTCAGCTTAAGATTGCCGTGGACATAGGGATGAAACTTCCGTCATTCATTTTCATCTCATGTTTATTTGATCACACTCACAGTTAAGTATATAGTTGCATACCGGTTATTGTTAATGGTATTGAGGAGGCAATACAGGTTTCATAGATCTACCAGCTTTTATCTTCTTACCGCACCTTTCAAATTGTTGTAGGGAACTAGCTGCTTTAAATTACTACGTTTATTTGATTTTACGATAACCAGTATCCTTCAGCAAATTTTGCATTTCGTTTTGAAAAACTTTCACTTCTGTGTCCCACTGTATCAACGTGACCATCTGAGCGCGAATGGGAGGCATGTATTCAACATTGGTTTTGTCCTGAAATCAGCGGTATTCGATGTAGCATGTCTGCCGTTTTAGTTTTGCGCTCGCTGTCCCTAATTTGGATTGCAATTCAATCTGTTGAGCCAAGTGCGCTTTTGTTATGTATCCGGTTTCGCATGCGATACCGATGTTGTCTTCCATTCCGCACGCGATTGCTAGTCAACTGATTAGCTTTGGGCGAATGTTAGCCTGAATTTCTTCCTCATCCGGGCGCACGAAGGTCTGTCTCAGGTGTTACTTTCCTCATATATATGCTATGCCCCTCTTCCGTTATCGCTGAATAGTCAGATTCATTTTGATTGGGTTAGAGAATTAGGCTTTTGTGATCCGCAACTTCTATAGTCGATGTTGCGCGCATTCAGGGACTCTTACCAGCACATTATCAGTAACTATTCGTCATTTCATCCGTTTCCGTTGCACTGTTGACTTGGTATTTGTTGGAGGTATCAGCTCGTCGAGGAGCGACCTAATCACAGGTAGGTACTGTTCCCCTAAGTTCGGTAGATTCCGATTTTAAGTCTGTATTGTGTCTGTATTATGGCCACCTCGTCATACCTATTATTTTCTATTCAAAATCACAATGCGCCGAACTGAAACCTCGGACTTATGTACCCTCGGCAGAAGAGTTTACTTTTGGTATATGTTATACGATTTGCTCTTCCCTAGGTATTTATCCACACTCTTTGGATTGTTGATAACCCATGTCTAATTCTAACTCATTGCCTACTTAATCATTGTCACTAGAGCCTTGCCTTTACCGGTTTTCGTGATTATGAGGGCAGGAGCTTCTTTTATGACCTTAAAGCTGTACGCTCCGGTGGTGCAAGGTTTAGCTTCCCAGGCCACTAACTATATGCAAATCTTGTCGGCTTGTCACGTTTTCTACATTTACTTCAATTCACTTACTGAAATCTTCGAATCCTTTTGCGATAATATACGTTCTTTTTTACCTAGTGCCTTATCTGACACACAAATGACGTTGCTATACTTTCCGCGATAGTTCTTTTTATAAGGCTTATTTACATTTGTATTTGCATTCTCTTCCAAACTTAATTCGAGAAATCGGTTCACACTGTTCCAAAACAAGTACTACCCGGCAGAACCTGCCTCTCCCTCTTATATAACTTTTGATATTGATTCATCTAAAGAACTTCTAGTTTCTCTTTTCATCCATCGTGTCGAGACTGGACCTGACAATAGTGCAATGGTTTGTGTGCCTCAGCGATCCATTGAGCTATATTGGGTGGTGCTTTTTGCATCTTCAGAGCCATTCATACGAGATTGGTCAATGGTTAGAGGCCAGGCGAACTCAGTCTCCTGGCCCTCCAGTTTTGGGGGTTGGAGTGAATGTGGCTCCTTACTTCATAAATCGAGCTCTATGTAGTCCAGTGCCAAAACCCCGCTGCATTACGATGTTTATAAACCATAGGCTTTAGTTGAGAACCCTAATCGTTCTCCTGTCTAGGCCAAGGCAGTATTCTGCCCACGCAATAAAATACAACAGCATGACTTTTTCTTCTTATAATCTCTTGATGCTCTGGCCGTCTCTGAGGATAATCAACGACGCCCTGTCTGTTGAATCGAGCAGGGTGGATCGGGGTTTGAATGCTACTGCTCAGGCCTTTCCGTCCTCTTATTCCTACTCGCGCTTTTTCTTCCTTCACTTTTATCCCCCCGTTTTCATTCCTCCAATTCTCTCCCTCCCGCAACTCGTTTCAGTAGTCGCTTATCTTCTATTTCCAACGCGTACAATCGCAGGGCTTCGCTCCAGTCTATTCGACAAGTCCATGTTCAACCAAGCGGACAACGTCAGTTCATCCGTTTCCCTTTGGAGTCCTCGATCCTCGCTGAGACTGCATGCCTCAATGTGCACATTTTGCCACAGATTGGCCAACAGACAGCACTTGCTCGAACACTCGAGACCCTATCAGTTGCCACGATTCACATTGTCATGACATGACAATAAATGTGATGTTGAGCACAGAGAATACGAAGGAAAGCGTGAAGACAGAAGCGAGCAAAATTAGTCGGGATGGGGTATTGACTGCTGGATGCATGAAATCGAGTGCAAGATGGCCACTACCTGCACCACCGCTGCATTTTTGTAGTCGGCATGATCATTACCAATAGTGTCTGCGCACTCCAAAGCGCTTACTAAATCCGCATTATACACCTCTTACCTTTGAGACGGATAGTTGTGCAGGCCGTGCTCATGCTCACAGTGTATCTCTGCTGTTATTGGAACACACCTCTTACATGGTCACCGAACTAGCTACGTCTAGCGTCCCTCGCTGTATTTTGCAGCTTCCTTGATTGACCGTGTAACACGTACAGTCAAACCTGCATTGTGCATCGTTCTTAATTTCAGGGCTGAATTCTACTTTATTGCCACTGTTCCTGCGATTATCTGTTTGTATGCAAACTGTTTAACAATATTAACTATGCTCAGACCACAACGGAACGCTGAGTGCTGATGATTTGCAATTAATTGGCGATTGTTGAGAACGCCTGTAGTTCCAGGTATAGATGAATTAGTTCGCTTGTTCTTTTATCTCAATTTGCGCCACCAACATTTCACCACCAGGCTTAATGTCCAACCAAGTGCAGTTCTGACATTATTTAAGACGCTTTGTATCACAGATTTGAAATACGATCTGATCAGTTCTATGCATCGGGATATGGACGCTCAGTAAGATCTTCTGAACTCTT